CCCCCCCCCCCCCCCCCCCCAAAAAAAAGAAGGGGAAAACAATAAACAAGCACAGTTGTTCCACAAGCAAAAAACAGAACGAGGATTGCCGTCAAGGGTTTCCCTGGATGCTGTCGACATAAGGTGGACTATGTACAGGGGACTGGCCACTGGATCCAGTTTGCATGCTGTCGACATGAGGTTGACTATGTACAGGCTTCTGCAATTACGGCGCCTAAACCCTAAGTCCAAAACCCTAAGCCCTTGAACCCTAAACCCTTGAACCCTGAAACCCCTGAGCCCCCTGAGCCCCCTGACCCCGCTGACCCCCCTGACCGCTATAAACCCCCTGAACCCCTCTGAATCCCCTGAAACAGTAAAACGTTCTCTGGGAAGACGGTGCTAAAGAGGATTGTATGGAACAGAACTTGACAATGTATTCACCAAAAACACCACAGACAGGGGCAGCATGTTCAACAGAAATTGCTTTGCGGCGTTTGCGCAACTTTGCGGGGTATTCACATGGAGTCGACACTGCGTAGGCTTATGCAAGCACAGCACTCTTTCGGTAAGAGGTTCGCTTGGACATCTCTGTTTTTTTAACTTTTTTTTTTTTTTTTTTTTTTTTGACACATCGGGGAAGGTGATTGAATCACGTATATAGTATATACATGTGAAGCATCAGATGCTGATCACCTTATTTTCTCCATTTGCTTCTTGGCTGCATTAGCTGATAAAGCTCTAAGGGCCCAAACATTGATCCAACCCTGAAAGCTCATCGCCAAGCTCCTCCTCCTCCTCCTCTCTTTGACTCGATTGGCACTTTCTCGTATGGCTTTTTGCACTTTGACTCTGTGGCCCCATCCTTGGAAGACACTCCTTATGGTTCTCCTTTCCAGCTTCTGAATCATCCTCTCCACGCGATCCTCCTTCACCCTAGCTGCCCATACTGCGTCTTTCATTTGGCCAAATGCTCTTCGTTTCACTCGTTTCTGATGTCTCTTTGAGAAAACAGCTAGATCATGTCGTAACCTCCTCGCCTTCTCTGCCCACATCTTCCACAACCGGTATGCCTCACTAAGCGTCAAACTTCTCCGCAGCAACCATAGCCTTTCCACTCCATCTCTCTTCCGAGCCGCTCTTCTTTTCCATGCCCGCAATGCTCTCCCTGCCATTCTCCCCTGCCATAATCGGGAAGCCCTCTCTTCCACGAAATTCGTCCACATTTTCCGAATGTGATATTCCCTCCATGCTCGCATTCCTCTCCTCAACAACCTCCATCTGCACCTCTCTCTCAATCGCCTCTCTCCAATTTGCTGCCCACTTTTGTCCTGTAGCATTTTTCTCCAATGTCTCAGTGCCTGCCGGATAACCACCCGTCTTCTGTGCTCCTTGGAGAAATTGCGGCACAGCGCTGACTCACGGCATGCCAATGCACCCTCGATGAAGGCGTGAAAGAGCTTGTGACATTTTCTTCGCTTCCAGATTGCTTCAGCTCTTTTCAAGGCCTGCAGGGACCAGCAAGGAATGAGAGGTCATAGCTTCACGAAAGACAGAAACCCAACAACTTTAGCAAAGGACCCCGAGTTTAATACTCCAAAAGACAAATGAAAACAGGGGGCAGGAGGGGAAGGTGGAGGAGGGCGAGAAGGGGAAGATACAAACTTGAATCGCCAGTACCTTTCCGCTCTTGAAAGACCAAGGCGCGGTGGTTAACACGGAGGCTCCATACGGCCTACAGCGGCGGCCAGATACATTGGCCATGCTTGGCACGCAGGGCCCGTGGCCGATGTATGGGAAAGGTACTGGCGCAGTCTGGTGGTTTAATAAGGTTCCTTAAGCCCCCTGTGTAGGGATGAACACAGATATGGCCATATTTCAGCCTCGGGATCAGTCACAAGGGGGCAGGGAAGGGGGGGCCACCGGGACCTCTCATCTTCCTTTCTATTGTTGAAATCATGATATAACATACATTCAATCCACTGCTACCTCTGGACCAGGCGTGCCGAAACAAACAGATTTTGGAGATGCCAGGTAGTGAACCAGTCCTCGGCAGTCCACGAGACGTTATTTCAAAATTTGGAGGCCCTTTTCCGAGGTCACCAGCAACGCCCAGGCGGGCATCTGTCAGTCAGCACACCCGGGGGCCTGCCCTGTGCACCCCCGGGCAATGCAAGAAAAATTGTCATTTGGCTGGTGGGGCCTTGTTGTGCCCACCTAGATCTGCCCGATTCTGGGCTCTGCTTTTTCCCTGGTGTACATGAAAGGGATGGGGGTAGGGGGAGGGAGGAGGGAGGCAGATGGCGGGAGGGAGAAGGGAGATGGATGCGATCATGGCAGGAGGCAGACAGCAGGAGGGAGATGGCAGGAGGGAGATGGCAGGAGGGATGAGGGAGATGGCGAGGAGGTAGATGCTCATGGAGGGAGGAGTGTTGGGCACAGGCGGGATTTGGACCTGAGACCTGGCCCAAGTCTAAGGTAAGCACTTGCTGTTTCTCAAGTTTGCTGCTACTAGTCGGACCTGGTGTACGTGAAATGGATGCGGGTAGGAGGAGGGAGGAGGGAGGTAGATGGCGGGAGGGAGAAGGGAGATGGCTGCTATCATGGCAGGAGGGAGACAGCAGGAGGGAGATGGAAGGAGGGAGAAGGGAGATGATGGAATGTAGAAGGGAGATGACGGGACAGATGAGGGAGATAGCGAGGAGGTAGATGGTGATGGAGGGAGGATTGTTGGGCACAGGCGGGATGTGGTCCTGAGACCTGGCCCGAGTCTAAAGTAAGTACGTGCTGTTTCTCAAGTTTGCTGCTACTAGTCCGATGTGAACCTGGAACCTACAAGTAAATGTTGTTGGAGGGAGAGCTTTTTTTGAGTCGGATTAAATTGTCCGTAGAATCAGCGTAGATGCATAGACCCTGTAGGACCTAGACATCTAGAAAATTATCCGGACGAGTGCCCAGTAGGACCCTGTAGGCTCAGGCAAATCTACCGACTGGGTGTTCTGGCTCTTTACGGTTTTCATTACCGATTGTTGTAGGCTGCTCAGGGAAGCCAGGCGCCCAAGTGGGCATATCGTTTTTTTCGTTTTCATAAAGTATGCTGGTGTGACTCTTCAATACCTTTTTTTTTCTTCTTTTTTTTTGGGAGATTGTGATTTTCCCGAATTAGTCTTCAATTCAGTTTCATGACCGACCAAGTGGGAAGTGACTCAAATTCGGCAAATCCCTAACAAGAGGGAGATGGAGGGAGGTAGATGGTGGGGAGGTAGATAGCGATAAACAGAGATGGTGAGAGAAAGGTGATCGAGGGAGATGGCAGGAGGGAGGACGGAGATGCTGAGGACATAGATGCCCATGGAGGGGGAGGACGGAGGAGGGAGATGAAGGAAGAGAGGAGGGCGATGGTGGAAGGGAGGAGGGAGATGCTGAGGAGGTAGACGCCCATGAAGGGAGGGAGGAGGAGGCAGATGGCAGTAGGTAGATGGCGATGGAGAAAGATAGAGGGTGGGAGGTAGATGGTGATGGAGAGAGATGGCGGGAGGTAGATGGCTGGAGGGAAGAGGGAGGAGGGAGGAGGGAGTTGGTGGAAGAAAGGAGGGAGATAATGGAAGGGAGGAGGGAGATGCCGAGGAGGTAGACGCCCATGGAGGGAGGGAGGAGGAGGCAGATGGTGGTAGGTAGATGGCGATTGAGAAAGATAGAGGGCGGGAGGTAGATGGCGATGGAGAGAGATAGCGGGAGGTAGATGGCTGGAGGGAGGAGGGAGGAGCAGGAGGGAGGGAGCAGGGAGGAAGGAGATGGCACGGAGGTACATGCCAATGGAGGAGTGATAAGGGGAAGGAGGTGGGGTGACGAAGGGAGGAGATAGGTGGGGATACGCAGAGGAGGTGGATGATGATGCGCAGAGGTGGATTCCACCCTCTCTCTTTATCTCTTTAGCAAGAACAAGAAGAAGGGATGAGAGGAGGTAGATGGCAATGGAGGAAGGATGGAAAGGAGGTAGAGGGCGATGCGTTGCCATTCCACCCTCTCTCTTTCTCCCTCTCTCAGTAGCAAGAAGAAGAATAAGAACAGATGAAACAGAGGAGAAGAAGAAAACTGGATGAATTGGAGGAGGATGGGGAAGAGAAGAAGAAAACAAGAAGAACAACAGTAACTCAACTTCTTCTTGGTGCTGATGGCCGGTGATGGGGGCCTGGCAGGGAGTGTGATAGGCTGGAGGGCGAAGAAAATGGGTGGACAATGACGACGATGACGACAGCTGCCCGACGACCACGGCGAGGAGGAGGGTGAACATGAACGAACTCACCACGGTACTTTTGCTAGGGCCTTCAAATTGAAATACCCTAGGAAAACTGCCGGGGCGACTTCCTTGCTTGCACCTTGCGGAGAAAATCTTCACCATCAATCTTGCCCGATTGACGGAGCAGATTTGCTGAATGTGAAAAAAATCAAACAGGGGCCTACTGGTCCCTGAAAAAGAATATGGACACTGCTCGGCAAACAGGGGTCTTGCCACCCCTTCCTTTTTGCAGAGACCTTTCATTTGCACTGCGCTTAGCCCCCTTCCAGACCAGGCTGATACCCATCAGCGCCAATGGAAGAACAGCAAAACGAAAAGCTAACTAAAGCCAATTCAAAAAAAAAAAAAACAAAAAAAAAACTAAAGCCAATTCGGCAAGTGCTATTGCTAGTAATGTGGCGTCGAAAATGTTGGACGGAACTTGGGACCCCATGCAAGCCATCTGGCGCTGACACTCCTGGCTAGATTTCCCTTTTCTTAATATTGTCTCCAGGCAAGTATCCGGACACTTTGACCTGTAACATTCAAGCCTGTGCCACACAATTTACCTAGGTGCCCTTCTAGTTAATATGGTCATGCTTATATCCAGGCGCTTGTGGATTTGGGAAAGTCGCGCCGTCTGACCTCTCTCCTAAAAAAAAAGAATTAATAACATGATGAAGGGTTAGGGAATTTTGACATCATCCGATAACCAGCGCAGCCATCTAGACACCCATTCTAGAAAAGGTTGAATTCTGGACTTCACCACCAGCTCTCGCGTCGTAGTGGAAGTTATCGGGGGTCGGCAAGTTGTCCTGGGTGGAAGCGTAGTCCCGCACTGCCCCCTTTAATGCGACCACACTTGCAACCCGTTTAGAGCATGCGCCAGTGTTCCCCGAACCTGATTGCATCTCAGAAGTCAGGACCCAAACGAAAACCACCGCTCGACCAAATTATACAAGAGAGAAGGCTGGAGTCGTTAGACTATCATCCTGCACCTTGGGGCCTCTTGGAATACTGACCTTCCACGAGACCTCAAAGCGGTCCCTCTCCTTCTGTCTATTATCTTTTCGGATTTATTCACCAGGCCTCAATGGGACCGGTTGCAGAAAAAGGTTACCGGGATTAGACTGGTCCCCGGAGGGCCAGTTTGTCAGCCCCTCTGACACGGTGTTGCATACTCGTGAATACTTCAACGAGTATGGGGCAGAACCAAAGATCAACCAATATAGGATGAGCATGTATGCAGCGGAAGTCTGATGAATAAACTGACTCACATAGAYTGACTCACACAGAYATCACTCCACACACAAACAATCGTGAGATGGTGGGGTCTGAGCCAATCRTGGAAGATGCTCAGGCCCCGTACACGCATACACAGACGAAAGGTGGGAGGAGAGACGAAGGAGGTGGGAGATGTAGGTAGCGCCAGATGTCACCGAGATAGAATCCAGTAGGTCACCGATATGGTAATCCAAAATGTCATCGAACAAGATCAAATGTCGTGGAAAATAAGTCACCAATATCGGAGGTACAGAGTCCCAATGTAACCGGTGTCCAATCTGTGATGCTGCCGAGTATCAACCCCAACAATCTCCAAGTCTCGAAACCGGTAAGTACCACAGCCTCTTACCACCGAAGTCCAACACTGATCTCTGTCCAACTAGTATCAAGTATCCAGTCTGAAGAAGGAGAAGATGAAGTCTGAAGAAGAAGAAGAAGAAGAAGAAGAAGAAGAAGAAGAAGTCTGAAGAAGAAGGAGAAGAGATGGCAGAGGAGGAGGAGGTGAGGAGGAGAGAGCCGGGGGCCGTGGAGGGAGGAGAAGACCCCCTCGCCTCCTGGTACCTGGCGGTGCTGCAGTCCAACTGCAGGTCGCGGCTATGGCCGCCGTGCTGCTGGTGGCTGCTGCCTCGCTCCTTGCTCACTGCCGCTGCTGSGCTAGCTCGCGCTGCTGCTGCTGCTCCGTGCTGCGCTAAGAATAGWGCTGGCGCTGCTCCTGCTGCYGAACCGATACGACTGGCGCTCGAGCAGCGTCCCAGTGTTCGATGCCTCAGAATGAGGCCGGACCGGTCTTTAGTACCGGTGGACAGGAGGCCGGCCTCAATGCTGCGAGGCCTGGCCRTGACCTGAACCGTCGAGATCGTCGGTTCAGATMACACYGGCGGGCGGCAGCCTCAAGAGCGCCGCCAGGCCCAAACGGTAATGTCGTTTGGGCCTGCCCGTCGGGTCTGGTCCAAAGATGCGGCCTTTCGGCCTGCTGTACCCCAAGTCTGGGCCTTTAGGCCCTACTGTGTCCCTCTGGCCCTAAGTCGGGTCCGGTAGGACCCGTGTGGCGTCGAAGATGTAACACACTCCCCCTCTTAAAAGACCGAGCTACCTGCGAGGGCGTAGTTGTCTGTCCGATACCGGGGTGGGTCGAACGGGACGAGCTGCTTCCTTGGCAAGGCGTCGCTTCTCATAGTCGGCGAAGATAAGGGGTGCAGAAGTCTGCAAGTCTGCACTAGAGATCCACCAAGTGTCGCCAGGCGCACATTGCTTGAATGTGACTTTGAACTGCATTGGCTTGTTGCCATACTTGCGGTGCGTGATGACTCGGTCCACTTCCTGATGTCCGTCCATAGAAGGCGGATCCTGTGATCGTCGGCCGGAAAACTCGTCGGCAAAAGGTGGCGTGTAGATGGCCAGCTTCAACGCGTGGAAGACCTGGTGCACTAGAACGTGCAGAGAAATGTTGACCACAAAGGAAGGACCTGCGGGGTCGTCTCCAACGGCAGAAGTGACCTCCCATGGTCCGAACCATTTTGGAAGGAGTTTGCGCGAAACATCCTGCTCAAGCGCAAATTCCTCGGAGAGGACCCAAACAAGGTCTCCCTCGCGGAAAGGACATGAAAGTCGACGTCGGTTAGCTTGCTGCTGCATGCGGATTTGAGCCTTTTGCATATTCGCGCGGGCTTTGATCAGCAAGTCCCGGTACTTCCGTACGGAAGCGGGATAGCAAGGGACGTCTATGTCGGCGGCCTGTGGCAGAAGGAGATCAGCGAAAATCCGTGCTTTCTCTCCACCATGATGTAGCCGGGTGCACCGACGTGTTATAGGCGAACTCAATGTCGGGAAGCCGGTCAACCCAATCTTTCTGGTCGGGACGGATGAGAGTACGCAACATCATCTGAGCGGTCTGGTGTGCTCGCTCCATCTAACCATCCGTCTGTGGGTGCCGAGCCGAGCTCGGCTTCATAGTCGTACCGGACTCAACCATGAGGGAAGTCCAGAAGGTTGACATGAAGCGAGTATCTCGGTCGCTCACTATGTCTTCCGGAACACCCTGGTTGGTAATCCGACCGGTGTGCAAGAGTCGTGCGAGCTCAGGCGCTGCAGCATGATACTTGCAAGGRAGGAAGCGAGCATACTTGCTCAAACGGTCAACGACCGTGAGAATACCGTAATGGTCGAGGCGATCGCGGGGGAACGGGCCTGTCACGTCCATAGCAATGGAGAGGCGCAGTGCCCGAGGAATCGGTAACGGTTTCAATTCGCCGAAGGGGACTCGAGATCGACCCTTGTTACGGTGGCAAACTGCACATGACTCAATGTACCTCGTGACGTCATGAAGGACGTCGGGCCAGTGAAAACGCTGGCGGAGGCGTGTTAATGTGCGGTTTACGCCAACGTGTGCCGAAAGTCGTGTGTCGTGGAATTCGCCAAAAAGACAAGTCTGTAAGATGCGATCTTGGGGCACAACTAACAAGTCCTTTCCTCTCGTGTGAAGGAGAAGGAATCCGTCGGAAATCCGATAATGGCTAGTCGGCGGGTGATCCGATGAAAGCTCCGCGTAGAGCGTGGAGTAAGTCGGATCGGACTTGTAGCCTTTGATGAAATGCGGCTGCAGATCGACATCGAGGTTGAATGTCGTGGTCACAATGGCACAAAAATCGGGCCGTCGTGAGAGGGCGTCCGCAACTCGATTGGCGGGATCGGGAATGTGGCATGGGTCAAAGTCGAACTGGTTGATGTAATACATCCATCGACCGATCGTGCTAGTGACCGTATCCTGCGTTTTATAAAAGGTCAACGGATTGTTGTCCGTATTCCATTTAAAACGTCGACGGCCGAGAAGAAAGTGGCTCCACCGTTTGAGAACGGTGACAAATGTGAGTAGCTCTTTCTTCCTAGCGTCGTCTAGAGTGTTGACGGGAGGCACCTTTTGGGAGAAATACTCGACCGGATGCCAACCGTCCTCGTGACACTGTTCCAACACCGCACCAATACCGTATCCCGAAGCGTCCGTAATCACTTGGGTAGGAAGGGTGGGGTCGTATATATGGAGGGCAGGTGCGGCTTGCATCGCTGCCTTCAACATAGGGAACGCGCCACGGGCTGCGTCGTCGAACTTGAAGGGCAACTTCGGGGACTGAAGTCTCGACAAAGGRGCGGCCACTTTCGAGTATGACTCGACGAATCGCTGATAATATCCAGCCAAACCCATGAAAGAGCGTACATTCGTCGTGCAACGGGGTTTCGGCCGATCCACGATGGCTTGGATCTTGTCCGCTAAGGGACGAATGCCTTTCGGCGTGACATAGTGACCCAAGTACTCAAGCTCCTGCTTGGCGAACTCGCACTTGTAGAGATTCGCTTTGTACTTGGCCAGTCCCAAACGATCCAAAACAGCGCGACGGTGTACGATATGCTCGTCCAACGTCCTGCTGTAAACCAAGATGTCATCGAGGTAGATGAGGACGCTGCGATCGAGCAAGTCGCGAAACTCCGTAGTCATAGCTGCTTGGAAAGTCGTGGGGGCATTGGTGAGGCCAAAATGCGATAAATACATCCACGCGGAGGGACGGCACCAGCCCCGTGACGTATGGGCCGATCCGGAACAGTTCCGGTGGGAGCCTCAAATACGTCTCTATACTCATCCAAGAGGTGAGAAATGCGTGGGTTCGGCGGTGACACGGCTGGTCCATCCGGCGAGGGGAGAGCATGCAAGAATACAAGGCCCATCTCCTCGACGTCATTCCGTGCTATGGCGTCGCGAATTCTCGCAACGGAAACCATGTGACAAGCAATCGAAGTGTGAGGGGTCGCGACCGTACATGGGACTAACACTCCGTTCCAATCACGGATGTGAACGGTCCGGTCATGGAAGTTCACTAGATGATCGGCGCKACGCAACCAAGACATGACTAGAATCATGTCGAACTTGGTGTCGAGGATGTCAAAAGACACCGGCTCGGACGCAAGTGGCGCGAAGTATACCGGAACGCCGTCGACGCATCGGTCAATAGACTTTTGCCTGCGGCCGTCCGCGAGTGTAACTTGCGTAGGTTGCGTCTTCCTTCGAACGCGAGGGCCATAAAGGCTTGGCTCATAAAGTTGCGAGACGCTCCGCAATCAATCAAGGCACTACAGGTTGCCTTCCCGATTTGAATGCGGATATAGAGCAAAGGWGCGTCGGTTTCGGCGTACCTTTGGGTTGCGTACTCGCGGTCAATCTTCGCAAGATAGGAGCGGAGATCGACAACCGCTACCTCGTCGTCCGTCAACGGAGCTGGTACTGTAGTGTGCAAATAGGAGCGTAGATTTGCCATTAAGGCGTTGCAATGCGGCCTTGGCAAGGTCCCGGTTGAGGGTAGAGGCATCCAAGCGAAGTCCTCTTTCGTGAGCGGGTCAAGCTCCTCAAGTCTTGACCACGCCGTCGAGTCCTCGAAAATCAGTGGCGAGCTGACCGGATCACTTGCCGACGGTGTACAGGCTGCGCATACGCAATCTAAGTGCACGTGGCTCGGCTGGTCTAGTAGTGGTACCAGCTGGGCGGCATAATCCTCGTAYGTAGCACGAGAATCAGCGACTAACGCATGCTCCCCCGTAGTGACATCAATTGCTAGCAAGGCAGCCGCTTCCGGCGGAGTGAGGAGAGAAGTCGCCTCTCTCCTTGCGCAACTCAGTTTCCCGAGTTCGCTGGACGGGGTACACGTGCCTTGCCCTTTTCGGGGCATTGTGCGGTCAAGTGAGTGACACCATTGCACCAAAGGAAATATCCAAACCGTTGACGAAGGTCATATACTTCTTTGGTTATCTTGTAAAGCGTCCATGGTTGTTGCCGAGTTCCTGTCGATGTCGCCGCGTCTGTCGCCTTGTTCTTCCGAACTCTCTTGGGATGCTTCGGCGGGAGCGCTGCAAGAACTCCTCCATCACCCGAGGATGCTGCTGCAGCGTGGAGATCGACCGATTCATCAGGAATCACGGCATTGTTATGTGTCGGTCGTTGATAGCCCTTCTTAGCCACATAGTGCGGTTGGGACTGTTTCTCGTTAGCGGCCTTGTCGTCCGTCTGGATGACTAGGTTCGCATGATCCAGAATAGCCTGGAATGAGGCATAGTCGTACTCGTTGCCGAGTGCCGACCGCAGTCCTGCGCACGATCGCGAGAAAAACTCGGATCGTTGGTTAGGAAAACTCAAATCGAAGCCTGGCGTGGTCACTATCTTCGGCCACTTGATTGTCCACTCTCGAGTTGGCATGCTTCCTTGTGAGCTGGTGTACACCTCGTTCATGGCCGCCTTCACGACGTTGCGGACCATGAATCGAGTGAACCATAGTTGCTCGAACTCCTTCTACGTAATGTGCGTGTGGAGTTCGGCGATGGTGCATTGCTTGGTGGCCGCGAGGTGGTTCATCCATGCCTGTGCTCCTCCGATCAGTTGCAGGTAGAGCGCCTTCAACATGTCTTCAGTCGGACCATGCGGCAGGATGCTTCCGTGAGGAAGCCTTGCCACCATGTCAAGGCGTCTGTCTTGTTGTAGCTGTCGAACTTGCTGATGTTGAAGTGCGGCATCTTGTAGTTCTTTGTAGCGGCGTCCGGTCTTGTCTGCAGCTTGGTGATGTTCGTCTTGATGGCGGCCACCGTGCTGCTGATCGTGTCCGTACCAGTGAAAGCTCCTAGGTCGCCGATGAGATTGACGACATGGTCGATGCGCCCGTTGAGCTGCTTCGCCGTGTTTGTCGTGCATCCTGGCGCTGCTTGGGAAGGCCTTGCCTCCAGAGTAGCAATGCGGGCGTCCATCTGTTTCAGCTGAGAGTCCACGACCTTAACAGCTGCTGCAAGCGTCTTCACGTTATGGGTGAGATCGCTTTGGAGCTGATTCGTAGATCAGGAATGAAGTTCCCCCATGGTGCTCTTCCAGATGACGGCACACATTGTGTTGAGTAGAATGTCTGCCAGGTCTTGTCTCTCCTATTGTACTGCCGTTGGCTCGGCGCCTGCTACGGGGACATAACGCATCCCGTTGAGTACCGCTGTCCACTGATCTTGTTGAGAGATCAGAAGCTCGGCACTGTCGGCGTTGAGCTGGTCGGTCGCCAACTGCGCCGCCTCAGCTTGTTGTTGGGCGTGGGCTGCAGCTTCTGCTGCTAGCCTTGTTTTGTCTGCTTCGGCAGCATCTTGCCGTTCCTAGGCAAGGGTTAGTGCGACCGTATAGGTCTGCACTCTCTGAATGTAGTCCGCGATGGGCTCATTTGGCCCTTGAGCAGGACAGACCGGCAATGGTTCGGCATTGCTGGATGTCGACGTCTCGGATGACGTCCCGCTATTCGGCGTGTTCGCCATCTGAGTGCTGGTCTGTGGCTGCTGTCGAACTGCAGGTTGCTGTTGCTGTTGGCTATCTGCGATCCTCCTGCTGCGTCGTGGCTGCTGTTCGGTGGCTTGCCCTGCTAGCATCAGTGTACTGCTGTTGAAGGCTGGCTAGTCCGAATGGTCGCAGAACAGTGAGAGAGAGAGGGTGGGTACAAGGGTAAGATAGATCAGGCAATTCCCATACAGACCCTGTCAATGATGGACTTAAGACACCTAATCGAACGGAAAAATATAATTTTCCCCGAAAAACAACTCCAAAATTCGTAATAAGAAAATAATAACGAATTAATAATCAAAATTAATGATTAATAATGAATTAATACTTCTTGATAATGGGTCCTGGGGACCAACTCACGCAAGTGTGTACATGTTATGCATCGTTCTCACACACAATGATCGATAGTCTCAAGTCATAGACAAAGGTAGAGGAGAAGAGGACCGAGTTTCACAGCTTATATTATCAGAAATATGATTACAAAGTGTTTCAAAGTTTCCCTGAGTCCAGCGYTCATCAGCGCAACACAGATCCCTTGTCAACTCATCAATATGGCTTTCCAAGCATCAGCGCTACATCTGCAGATTGTCTCCAAGTCATCAACGTGGTCACTACTCRTCAGCGCCACCTCTGCAGTTCACAGCCAACTCAGGTAAGTATCTTCCATAACCAAGCCTTGAATGAACACTCTCTGCCTCAGTCCCTTCCTCCTACGATGCATACACACCCTTCACTCATGAGGATCTACTCTGAATACTACTCATAGCTACATACTAACCCTCTACTACTAATGCTAACTCGTTGGGCAGCTATGGCTGCATCACTTCCAGCGTATAGGCTTCTTCCTCCCTCCAGCGCATCTC